GCTGCAGTGCTGGCTTTGCTCTGTCGCTAGTGCCCGGCAAGCCCAGCTTAGCCACTCAGCCACTCTCGCTTCCATTCTCCTCCGCGAGATAGAGATGATAACACCGATTTCCTAAAGCTATGCTGGGAATTAGGCCAAAGGCCGCCCTGCAGTGCTTGAGTGCAGTAGATGTTCTCGCCGGTGCGGCTATCCATTGAACTCGGGATCATTACAATTCGCTAACAGCAGGTAAACTGCCTCTTGAAGGCTCACAGCAACTTCTGGGAGAAAAGAGGCCCCTTTCTCAGCCCGGATTTATATTTGGAAGCTGTAAGACTGGCTCAGATGGGCGGAGGACTTCCCCAGAGCCACGCGGCGGGTGGCGGTGGGTGTAGGGCCACGCCCTCCCTCCTCCACCTGCCCTCTTCTGCAGCTCAGCGATTTCTCCAGGTACACACAGCTCTGCACCACACACTCTGAATCGCACGCCAAACTGGGGACGCCGTTTCTCACGGGTCACAATTCGTGTTTTGTTCCCAAGAAAGTATGAAAAAATTCTGAGTAGTCACAGCACTTGCAATTTGAAGTTGTGGACAAAGTATGGAGAACTTGTTATAGGAGTACATGGTGTTCCTCAAGGAAAGTGTGTTTTTAAAATTGAATAACAATAAATCATGTCAAAACTCTGCTTAATTGCTATGCCTCCTCCTGAGTTTTATTATTATTATTAATTATTGTTATTGGTACTGGAGATCGAGCTCGGGTCCTTGTGCTTGTGGGGCAGGTGGCAGAACCACTGAGCTAAATCCCTGGCCCCTGAATTTGATTATTTAAAAATTTTACCCACTGAAAGATCAGAGAAAAATCTGGACCCACCATGTATGCAGGCCTGAAATTGCAGAAATGAAGACAGGCGCAGCATAGCTCTGGGCAGATTTCCCTGGGGGTCGCTGTCTGCCCTGGACCTTGGGATGGGCCAGCCTTTGCTGCACCGCATGGCCCGGTCTGCTAACAGGTCTCGTCAGCTCTGCCTGTGCCAAAGGACTGACCAGGATTGCCACGATTTGCTTCCAGCCATCTCCCACTTTTCTTACAAAAGCCTATGTAAAGCACAGACGCTGCTTTCACAGTTGGACCCATTTTTAGATGCTAAAATAAAGAAAATTTGGGGTTCCAGGAGTGGGTATGTTTCTGCCATTCTCAGCAAATTGTAAGGGTGCCACGGCCCTTGTACACGAATATCTTGGCTGTAATTAATCACAGGACTACTTCCCGGGGAGACTCGGTTAGTGTCTTTTGTTCAGTGACAATGCACCAGAGGCTTCACTTGGAGTAATGAATGAAATTGTTCCACTGAGACACTTTTTACTGAGCCTGTATCTGAGAAGTAAATAACGCTGACTTCCTAGCGCCAGTTATAGATTTTCTTCTAGAGATTATAATTTCCTCCATCAATTATTTCTTCCCTGCTTCTTTCTTCTTGCTCTAAGAACCTGCTGACATCCTCTTCGAGGACTCGGCTCCCACAGTGCCTGCTGACTGGGGATGTAAACTGTCTCCTTGGCCACAGGATCAGGAGCGATCTCCACTCACAACCAATCAGGTGCTCTCTCCCAAGGACTGGTGTTGGGCCTCTAAGATACTGTTGAATGTTTGTTGAGCACTTGAAGAGGAAATTAAAGTCAACAAACAAGACACTGTGCTTAGTTCTTGAATGAAGAAGTAGAAAGAACTGGTCCGGAGACTGAGGTAGAGAAAGACAATGCGAAGTAATGACCACATGCAGAGAGAAGACAATCCATTTAAGAAAGACTAAGAGAGTAGTACTCCATTAGGTTATGTGCCACAGTTTCTTTATCCATTCTTCTGTTGGCAGGCATTAAGGCTGGCTCCATAGCTTAGCTACTATGGATCATCCAGCAATTAACATGGGTACGTAGGTGTCCTTCTCGTATGCTGAGGCTAATTTGTTCAGGAATATACTGGGGAGTGGTGTAGCTGGGTCAAATGGGAGCACTCTTTTTAGCATTTGGAGGAACATCCAAACTGATTTCCACAGTGGCTGTGCTAATTTACATTCCCGCCAGGAATGCAGGAGAGTGACGTCATCGCCATTTGCAGGAAAATGGATGAAGGGGACATTACCAGATGAGCCAGATTCAGAAAGTCAAACATCATGTTTTGTCTCATATGTGGACTCCAGGAAGAAAGTTAAAAAACAAAGATGATAGCGAGGTAAAAAGGGGACTGCTAGAGAATGGGAAGGGAATAAGGAGTAGGGGAGAGGGAAGGGGTGACGGGAATGTGGAAATCAAGTGTGCTGTGCACTTGCATGAACACGCCTGACTGTAACCCACTCCTCCACATAATTGGTTTGTGCAAATACAGTTTATAAAAAAAGGAGAGGAAAAGAGAGACTGAGAGAGAAAGCCGGGTTTTGCCTTCTATTACTGTTTCCGGTATTTTGCAGGCATTATGTGCACTCTCTGCCCTTTCATTTCGTTATGGTCCTGCACCTTGTTTATAAATACCAACATTCTTTTCCTTTGTGCAGGCGTGAGTGTGTAATCAGAGTGGGTTTTGTTCCTGTGGGCAGGGGTCCCAAGACAGGTGCACGGTAGGCTCACCTGTGCTGCTGAGTGACATCTCCAGCTCGGCCCCTCTTCCCGCAGAGTAGACTTTGTGGTCCTAGGGCAGGTCCAGGAGGCACGGCTCCTGTGACCCTGAGTCTCAGCACCTCCGCTTGCCTTGTCAGTCACTGATGCTTCCACACACACATGTGCATTAGCTGCTTTCGTTCTTTCCATCAGGCTAGAATAGATTCCATGATTGACACCCCCTCAGGAGCGTGACTTTCCATCTGGGGCAGATTTTTGAAGGTTCTTACTGGGAGCTCAGGGGGTGGAATGGCTCCAAGATTCCTCCTCACACTATGGGCCAGGCTCCTCTCTCCTCCGGAAGGTGTGACTTTGACCTTTCCGTTGGTCACCACGGTTGCCATTTTCAGCTACGTGTGACTGAGACACAAAGGGCCTTGAGGGAGGACAGCCCACAGAGTTCTATTTGAGGAACGCCAAATGGCTCTCCAGGCCCAGCTGGCACTGCTATCTGCTGCACAGTGCCTGAAATGTGCCTGGCTATTTTTGTCAAGTTATAATATTATTGCTCACAATGAAATCTAATATTAAAACAAGATGAACGTTGCCCTCAAGGAGGGCAGAGAACTCTCAAACCTGCTACTTGTGTGACTTTGGGAGAAACCAAATCCTTTGTGGCTCTGTTTCCTCATCTGTAAGATGGCAACAATAATAATGACCTGCTTCACAGGGATGCCTGGGGGTTCAGTGGATGACTACTATGTGTTAGGCCCCCAGAACTGTGGCCGACATAAGCTCATCCTTGTGTTATAAAGAGGAAGGAAAGAGAGAAGGTGAAACTTTCCTCTCCTTTCCTTTCCTACCTGATTCTTTTTCTAGACAATCAGCTTGTGGTAGGAGGACTTTGAAATGTGGACGAGCATAGTTTTCTTCAGTCTACTTCTCTTGTATTAAATAGCTGAGTTTGCATGCTTCTGCTAAGTGGACTTACCTCCTGCTAAAGTGATGATGGAAGGCAGTGTGGGTCCTAGGTTTCCACGGCCCGCGCTCTTGGACTGACAGCGGGGGCTGGGAGCTGCGTGTTCCTGGGTCTGGAACACTTCTGGGTGAAATAACTCCTCCCCAGGCCCCGCGTTATTACAAGGTGCTGTCCCCCTGGGAAAGGCTCTCTTCGTACCTGTGTGTAAGCCCCACGCATTAGGCTGGGAAGAAAGGGGCTACAAGAGAGACTTGGAAAGTTACAGTAACTTCAAGCGAATGACTCCAAACAGCCAGGTTTATTTCTCTCTTAAGCGACATGTCTACCCTCACACTCTGGGACGCCGCTACTTTGAAACTCACTGAATTTGGTACTCCATGCATTTGGTGTGAGAATGCTGTCCTAGCACAGGCTGTTTGCTCAGAGCTCGGCGGGCGAGCTGGAACCTGCCGGTGTCCCTTTCTCCCGACTCCCTCACTGTCCTCCCAGCCAGAGTGGTTTGTTTGGTGCTCACTGTTTTTGGTACCCTCGAGCCTCCTGGCAACCAATTAAGGAGCTCTGAGGGACCACGGTGTGCATGTGGGGTTCTGCTCCAAGTTGGCCACCCTCAGGGCCCAGGTTGGGGAGCAGCCCCCCAGGGCGTGTTGCATGACCCAGGGAAACGGGGTGGTGGCTTGGGCCCCCGCCCTCAATGCTCCTACCTGGAAGGGGCATGCAGCTCCTCAACTCAGAGGTCGCACTCAGCTCTCAGGAAATGGCCAGACACCATCTAACCGAGTGTTTGGCAGAACAGGAATGTTTGGGACAGTGCAAAGCCGCCACATTCACACAGACGTCTCACCAGTCGCGACCCCCAGAAGGTAGAGACCGTGACTCTTCCCCGCTGCCTTTCTCAAGGCCGCAGCCTGCGGCGGACGTGTGATCAGTGTGGGACGAAGGGCTCACTGCAGGGCGCAGCATCACTGGGCGGAAAGGGAAGAAGGCTCAGAACACTTGGTGTCCTCGCCCAGCCCGGTACCACCTCCTCCTTCCCCCAGGCGCTGGGATTCTGACTCTCCGCTTGTTACCTGGGTGATTCCAAACCACCCCTCAGTCACTCAGAACCTCTGTTCCTGCTGCTGGAAATTGGGGGCATTTTGAGTCCTCTGCACAGCTTGTGCAGGAAGGCCATGTGCAAGTATGTGGCTAGTGGCTTCATGGTACTGGCCACTGCCCAGTGCCCTCTCTGGGAGCCTTGGGTGCCTCTCACCACCTGCTGAGCTGCCGCACGGAAGCCCTCAGTCCCTGGGCAGGGCCCAGTGTGATGTGTGTGCACGCGAGTGTGTGTGCGCGTGTTTTACCTAAAGGCAGGCACACAGGAGGTGGACACAGACTGAGGTGGGTCTCTGAGATGCAACCGGAACCATGTTGGTTAAGGTACCATCAGGCTACAAGGGCACTGCGGTTTATTTTTAATGTCAGATTTATTTACTTACATATGATTCATAATTCACATTCAGTAAAACTCACCCTGTGTAATGTGAGTTTGAAGAGTCTGCCAATGCAGGCAGCTGTGTAACCGTCACAACGGCCACGACAGGGAGATCTCTGCTCTCCCGTGATGTCCCTTGTGCCTATTTGTGGACAAGCTCATTTCCCACCCATTTCCATAGCAACCACTGGTCATCTGTGTTTTTGCCATTTGCAGAACATCGATGAAGCTTCCCTGACCTTTGAACCCAAGCCAGGAGATGAACTTTCAGCGTCCTGTCACCCTTTATCATAACTATACTTGTGCTCTATGCACAACTGATTGAAAATGGTCCTGTGTCTGCCTCTTCTGCTGGAGTTCTGCAGGCACATCTGAGGGGAGGGCTGTCAGCCACCCATGACAGCGTCCTCCACAGTGTCGCCAAGGAGCTGCTACAAACTGTCATCCAGTGAGCGAGGATCCAATAAGTGACTCACTGTCTACAAGAAAATTGCTCTAAGTTACTACTGATTCAGCAAAAGCAACTCAGTGGTGTCCAGTGTACATGTTGTAAAGCATGAAGACCACATTACCCGAACATTTCTGAATGTCATGCGTTTCTGAAGAGCATGTGTAGCTTTCAGAGTTATACTGTGCCCGAATTTCAGCAATCAGAGCTATCCTTGATGTGTGATCAACATGCAATTAATTACAAATCTGATGGGAAGCCTTTATCACTTATTACCCTTGCCCTTATTTCATCTAACCGCACACAGAAAGCTGCTCAATTCATACTTTTTGTGCTCCATATATTTTGTAGTAGATCTGACGTGATAGTGATGCTTAGTAGCAAGATCATGAAGTCCTCAAAATCAAGCTTATTTTCTGTGTGCTCATCAAGTTCAGAAAGGATCTCTTGGTAGGTTGACTTGGATTCTTGTCCCTGGGAAGAACAAAGAATAAGTAAAAACCTAATTCACTATATAAACCTTGGATTTACAGACAATAAGCCAAAACACACATGTTATTAACAGTAGCAATGTGTCAGGTTGCCTCTAGCACGGCATTAAATCTTTTCATAGGTTACCTTACTGAAATCTCTCAGTCACCTTGCTGAATATTGTATATTATTACCATTCCCATTCTACAGATACAGTCTCAGACTCCTGAGGGTTAAGTAATGCTCCACGCGAGGTAGGCTGCAGTGGGGAGCCGAGATTTTAGCCTGGTCTACCTGATTCCAGAGCCCACACTTTTAATTGCTGAGCCTGTCATCGAGCACAGATATTGTTATTGTTAGATTTTCAGAGTATAATCTCTTTGTTATGGGAGATATCCTTCATGTGTTTATCTGATCTATAAGATTATCCAGAAATATAGAGTAAACTATGCGAAAAGAAAGCATCTTCTTTGAAAGACTGTTCGGCATTTACTGTGATCATAAATCAGATTCAAGTTTATAGCCCTCATACAGTCAGCGTGAAGGAAAGAATCTGAACAGTATATACATGCAGGGGCTTTTCAGTGTCAACTCACAGCTCGAAACTGAGACAGGAAGGTCATTTGATCCGCTCTCACACTGAACTCCGTTTGCTTTAGTTCAACTTCAAGTGGTTGCCCACGTGCTCTGTGTGCAAATCCATCCTGGCAATGGAGACACCTTTGGACTGACGCGCACTGCTCTCGAGGTTAGGATCCACTCTTAGGTCTCCAGGCTGGCTCTCCTTTGGACCCCTCCCACCATGGGCAAGGGCCAAGGGAGTCGACGTGCTCCCTCCAGGACAGCTGCTGCTGTGGGAAGGGGCTCAATTCCAAGACAACGATAGGACCTCACCAGTGCAACTGACACTGTGTCCTCCAACGCCACGGAGGCAGGCGGCCCGTCTTCCTCCTCCTCCTCCTCCCCCTCCTTCGTTTTTCTTTCTGTAGATTGTAAGATCAGAGCTGGCCGAGGTCCAGTCCTCTTGGCCTATGACACTTACCCTGTTTTGTATCTTCTTAGCAGGGCCTTGAGTGCCCCTTTTATTACATCTGGCCAGTGGTAGGTGTCAGGAGCCCCAGAATTATTTTGAGCTTATGAGAAAGATGTCCCTTCCGGGCCCAGGTCTCAGCTGAAAGGTCGAGTGCAGTTTACCAGAGGCCTCTGCAGGGGACTTCAGGCAAAAGCCCAGTTGGGAGTGAAGCAGCCCCTGCTGCCTTGGAGCTGGCGGGCACGCACATGCCGGCCTGGGGTATCTCGAGGACTGGCCGCCTGCTCGGCCACGTCCTGCACTTCTCTGCATGCTCAGTGTGTAAACTGTCGCCGTCCACTCTGAGGGTGCCCAGGGCGGAACACGGCTCTGCCTCCCGCTGCCTCTCCTCTCCAGCAGGGCAGCGGTGCTCTTCAGCCCAGGTGTGTCTGCAGCTGAGCCTGCCCCGAGGGACAGCAGGCCGAAGCTATGTCTCCTAATGACTAGGACAGATCCAGTAGGTCCTCAGTTCCATGCTTTTTAAAAGCCCTCTGAAGATTTTTTGAGCACTAGGCAAGGGGTTCTTTTTCTCTCTGGGACATGCCATTCATTTTGGATGCAGGGAAACATTACAAGATTTGTTCACACATTCTTTCTTTAAAGGTTCCCTAAAACTTTTCGTCTCTTGTCAAATTCTGTTTAATATTTATGGCCCAAAATAGTCTTTTCCTAAAAATATCTCAAAAATGATGCATGTATAATTTAGAATATTTAGAAAAAAAAACATTTAGGGGCTGGGGATTTAGCTCAGTGGTTCTGGCACCTGCCTCGAAAGCCCAAAGTTCTGAGTTCGATCCCCCGTACCAAAAAAAAAAAAACATTTAAAAAAGAATGCAAGCATAATCCTTTACCTCGTTCCTGAAGACAGCTAACCCTCATTAACGTTTCTTCCAGTCATGTTAATGTATCACACTATATTCATGCATAGCCACACATTTGAAATAATCATTACTTAGTACACTAAAGCTATACGTGTGTGTGCGTGCACACGTATATACATATGTGAGCACAGTCATCTTCTGATGTCTCAGAACATACACAGAAACTCACAGATGACCTCCATATGTCTTCTTGCTCCACCTACTAATGAATGTTGGTGCTTTAGGCTCACGTGACCCCTTAGTTACTTCTTCACATTTTCCTCAGGCTGATGTTTTCCAGAGTATTAACAGATACTGACGGTAGAATGCAATGCAACTTTAGACAATATAAGAATAAATATTAACTAAGAATTAAGTCATCTATTTATTCTTTTACTATGATCTTCCATTTTTATCCATCGAATTAACATTTAAAAGTATCCTTATAAATAAATGTATTCAAGTATAGAGAAAATACAAAGAAAATGTTCAAGGGAAATGGTAACGTATGTCGTAGGCACATGGAGGAGAAATGTTGAGGATGGTATTGAGATGGTTGAAGTGTGATTAGGCTAGTCCCTTTAGACCACTTTACGCACTTCCAACTCTTATTCCACATTTCAAACACAGATCTCTGTTCTAACCGTCAACTCACACTTCCTGTTGCTGTCTTCATTTTCCCACCTGAAGGTTTCATGGCTGTCTCAGAATGGACATATCGATCCGTATGGGAGTCGACACCTGCTCCTTCCCCTCCCACTTCAAACCTGCTCATTCTCCAGGCTTCCTCTTTTCTGGGAATGGGGTTACCACTCATCGCTTCCTCAGAAACTAGAGTGCCACCGCTGTATTTGCTCCTCCTGTATTTCAACTTTCACAGCCATTTGATTTTCAGATCGTCCATTCTGTTTTCCAAATGTCTCTCATATGTGTCTGTTTTCCTCCATCTTCACCACTGTCGCCGAATCCCTCACCCTCTTGTTCGGATTGCTTCTCCACAGTTACTCCGTTCCTCCCCCATGCCTCACTTGCACGCTGGTTGTGTAGCTTCTTAGACTTGGACTTAGAATCCACTTCTGGCCTTGCCCTGCTCTCTGGCTGTAAGATATCACTTCTCTTGGCCTCTCTAGCCTTACCTCTCACAATGGCTTATTCCCCCACCTTCTTACCAAGAGCTTACCTTTCAAGCCTTCAACCTGCCCATGGGCTATGTATATGCTATTCTCTCTGCTTGGGATGATACATTCTCACTACTTCTTGCCTAATGAACTCCAAACACTCTTCAGTTCTTATCTATATTGCAATTTTCCAGGAGTCTTTCTTTGACTGCTTGCCCCAATATGGTTCCTTTGCTTTACCCTCTCATTGCTTGCCCTGGTCCTTCATGTCCTTTAAATATTTCTAAATGCTTTTTCAGCATATTTCTTTACTGGGCTGTGAGCGTGTTCATTGCACTAACTCTGGTGCTCAGCTCACTGCCTGGTATAGAGTAGGCAATAATAAACATTTGTTGATTGAAGCAACACAATGGGCTCTTGGGCCGGCCATTATGGAGTCGCCCTAATTTTCTTACCTTGGTGAAATTCCCAAATTGGGACTGCAGCAGACTTTTTGTAGCAGCTTTTCCAAGTTTACCATCAGGGTCAGAAGAGTTTCTGAAAATCAGAGCAACAGTGGCAATGGCTTTTTCCAGATCTGAGCTCTTCTTCAAAGCTATGGGAGAAGAAATGTGTGAGAAAGCATCCTGGAATACAGTAACTTCTGAGACCTTGGCTGGCTCTTTCCAGGGAAAGGTGGGGAGAAGACTCAGAGGGTGTGTGCCATGTGACCCAGTCCTTGGCCCTTTACCCTACCCGGGAGTGGGATGTGCTGAGTGATTCTAACTCTTTAAACAACAGAGAGGAGCTAAGTTCCTTTAGTAGCAATCAGAAATCATAGACTTAGGATGAGATTTACCCACTGCTTGCTATAAGACCTTGGGAAAGCATTCACCTCTCTAAGTATTGGTTTTCTGAGCTGTAACTTTATTCATTTACTCAAATATTTACAAAACATGTGTTAGTCATCTTTCCCTTGTTGGGGCAAAGCACCTGATGCACAAAACTTCAATGAGGAGAGGTTTATTTTGGCTTCTAGTTTCAGCCCAAGGTCGGCTGGTTCCAAGGTGAGAACATGCTGGGAGAGGGGAGCTGCTCCAGTCATGGCAGCCAGGAAGCAGAGAATAGGAGAAGCACCGGAGAGGAAAAGACCAGGAAAAATATGCTCTCCAAAGGATCACACACTTCTAGACAGGGCTTGCGCAAGTGACTGGAACATGCAGTGTCATAGCTGAAACTGCTTTCAGGAGGTGGTGTCTGGTCAGAAGCGAGGGTTGCTGGCAGTGTGAGCTGGAAGTGTTTATCTCCCTCCGGGTCTCCCTTCTCATTCTGTTTCCTGACAGCCATGAGGTGAGCAGCTTTCTTCCGCTGAGGCCCTTCCACTGTGCCTCTTTCACTGGAGCCAGCCGACCATGCAAGGACTGATTCTTCTAAAATGTAAACCAAGATAAACCCCTTCTGCCTTAAATTGTGGGTGCTGGGTATTTTGTCCCAGAGATGAAGAACATGACTAAGACACCCCACCAACACAAGGATTGTTTTGCTTGTCTTATTTTCTGTTGAATCTGTAGTACAAAATGAGTGCTTCACAAATATTTGTTGAATAAATGGCTGCAAAAACTGTCTTCAACTTATTCTTCCTTGATTTCCTTCTTGGTCCCAGGTTCTCCACCTTATGCTGGTCTTTGACTAGTGCTTTACACTTGTGATTTTTGCATGCTTGACCAGTGGCTGACGCTGCATCTTCCCCAAAACTCCAGCCTCAGAAAAATCTCCTGCTTCTTTGGCCTTTATTTTTAACTCTTTCTTTGTCCATCCTCAGCTATTTGTCCCCTCCACCCTTGCCACATCCAAACCCTGAGTGTCTTTGATCACCTCTCATTGTCTTGCTCTTCAAAACACAAGGAGATGGGCACATTCCTTCCGGGTCCTGCCCCGCCTTTCTGGAGATGTGTGTGTGTTTGAGGTGGAGAGGTGCACTGCCTTGTCTTCTGCATTTCCTTAGGATGACGACCTTGCATTTAAGAAGCTGAAGAGTGAACTCTGTTTAATACTATTTTGTCTTTAAGAAACATGAATTCCTTAGGAGATATATACTTCTGTAATTCAGCCCAGTTGATTCATTAATTAGTAATCAAGAATACCTACGTAGGCCTTTAGTCTGGGCTGCTCTACTGGCCTCGGGATTTTGTTGGAGGACAGTAAGCATCAAGTCTCTGCTGGGTACAGCCTTTTAGTGAGGACAGACAGGATGTTCAGGGTGTGGTTAAGCTTGCAAATGATGATAGATACCTTCTCTGCTTAATGCTTCATAAAACCTGCAGAGGTGGGTACTACTAGTCTCCTAACTTTACATTTGAGAACCCTATGTATGGAAAGATGAAGACTCTGAATTTCAGATTGCTGAGATGTGAGAAATGAAGGATTTGAAGGTTTTCCAGACTGCAAAGCCCATAGGAAGATGAGCCACTCTAGAGTAACCTCTGTGGGTAGAATCCAGATGTTTCCAGCCCTCTGATAAAGAGTCTGGCCGCACTCTGAATTATGACCCCATCTGGACTGACTAACTTCTTATCCTTCTCCTACATCCCTTAGAAAACAGCACGCATTTCCCCCGACTATAAAATAGCATATAGTGATGGTAAAAACAGAGCTAGAAAATATTTAAAATAAGATACCTAAGACCTCTGCTTGTCTTACCAACACTGATACTACTTTGCAAGACTTCTTAGCTTCCTGTTTTTGTGTCTTGATTCTTCCTTTAATAAACCTGGCAGGTTGCCTCTGAAGTTTTCCACCGTCTGTCTGCCTTGTAGACTTGCGAACTAGAATGTGAAAGCGTATTGTAAAGGGGAGAGTGTGACTGGCAACGGATGCCGCTGCTGTTTCTCTCTTGGCACTTTTTACTGGCTGTCTTGATTCTGGAATGGGGTGGGGGGAGGCCGCTCAGCCAGGCCGCTTCATGCTGCCCTCTCCTGCTCTTCGCTCGCTCGCTTTCATATGCTCTGCTACCCGAGCCATGGGCAGTTCCCTGCTCACTGTGCGTTCCTCAAGAATTCCGCGGCACGTGTTTCCCGCCAGACCCTGTGCTAGCTCTGGGTGCAGAGCAGAGAGGGTCCAAAGGGCAAGCTCTGTCCTCCTGGAGCCTGTGCTGAGCTGGACAGTGGAGGAAGGGTTCTGGAGCTCGTGCCGTGCACCCAGCCGCTCCCGCATGGGCCCAATGGCCGATCCCACTCAGTCAGTTTTGTCGGTCCGGTCCTACCAGGTGGCCTTGTTCTCATCCCCACCTTATAGGTAAGGAAACGGAGGTGCTCAGCAACGAAGTAGCTTACCCATTACCTGAAGTCACGCAACCAAGCTGGCCCTCACCCCAGTGTAGTGCCTCTAGGTATTTTCCGGGTAGTGTATTCTGTAGGGCTCTTGTGTAAAACCCCACAAGGGGAGAACTTCCCTCCTTTTCCTTTTATAATACCCTAACCCCAACCTCTCCAGAGGTGTTATAGCTGTGTTTAGGTGTCCCCCAAAGCCTCATGCAGTAACATGGGGGGCTTTTTCTGAAATTGACTCATGCTGCAATGCTAGGCTCAAGGGCACTAGGATAAGGGTGTGAGTGCTGCCCACCCTAAGTAGCCTGGATAAGACATAGGGGCAGGGAGACAGTGTTAGGGTCCCTTGTTGCTTTGCTACCATGTGGGTGCCATGGACAGTTTCTCCTCTGCGACGCCCCCTCTGCCTACCCTGCCATGGACTGTTTCTCCTCTGAGACTCCCCTCTGCCGTGCCACCCACCTGGGAGCCACGATCATGGACTGAAACCTCTACAAACTGTGAGCTAAATAAATTCTTTCTCCTTTAACCTTGGGTGTCGGGTATTTTGTCTCAGCAATGAGAGAAAAGTACCTAAGACAAGAGCCCTCACACTTTAACACTATTTTCTGTCCTGTTTTCTAGATCAAAACTTCCCCAAAGAAAAATGATACATAATCATATTTTTTCTGGCAGCCACATTAAAAAACTAAAAAGAAACAGGCAAAATTAATTTTAATAATATATTTTGTTAAACTTAGTAAAAATTTATCATCTCAATAGGTAATCAATTAACCAAGTAATTGAGAGATTTTTACATTTTTTTTCTGCTAATCTCTTTAAGTCTTATACTTTTTCTTTTCTCAAAATAATTCCTTTTCCAGTGCCCAGGAGCTCCATGTGGCTGGTAGCTACTGTACTGGACAGTGCAGTTCTACATTGAGTGTTCTGAGGGAGGTCATCACACCTCAGTTATCTTTGCATTTGCTCCCAGGCCCTGCTGGGCCTGGGCCTCCTGCACATGTGCTAAACTGAGCTGCCTGAACTTCAGCACAACCCTCCTTCCCCCCTTCCTCACCCACCCTGGAACACAGAGCTCTAAATATGAAGCACTTGATATGAGGAGCTCCTAACAATTAGCGTCATAGAAACAGCACGATTGATACAGCAAAGTGTCAGCATCGCTTCATTTTAGAACTTTTCCTGATATTAGCTACTTTTTGACAAACTATAGACCTACAGGAGCGCAGTGATTCACCCAAGCTTATACAGGTAGCTTATGGCAGAGCCAAGAACAAGTAAGGTTTCTGCTCTCTGCTCTAGTCAGTAGGTGTTCCCACACTCACTGCAAACTTCTCACACTCACTGCAAATTGACCCTGAGTGTTCCTACATCCTTACTCTCCAATCCCTGGAGCTCAGAAGCCAAGCATCCTGCAGAAAAATCATCAGTTTAGTTCCATGACTTATGCTTGACTTCAGTGAGTAACACTTAAATTGCCTACCACTGAATAAAAGACGAGCCCTGCTAATCCTCTGATCTTTCGGGAATAACATTGCAGCAATGGTCTCCAGTTTCAGGAGTTTGGGGCACGAAACAGGGCAGGGGTGATGCAGTTACACCCAATCCCAGAAGGAGAAGTCTCGTTAAACATGTGCTGGGGTGCTTCTCACAAGTACCTGAAGCTGTGTGAGTTAACACAGGGGAGACGCTTGAGGCACAGGCACAGGCAAGGGCTCTCTCTCTTTCTTTCTTTCTTTCTTTCTTTCTTTCTTTCTTTCTTTCTTTTTTAAGGACTTTCTTTATAGAACTTGACAGCACAGGATATATTATCAAGAATCAACAAATGGGATTACATCAAATTAAAAAGCTTTGGCACAGCAAAGGAAACAACCAACAGAGTGAAAAGACAACCTATAGAATGGAAAAAATTCTGCCAGCTACTCTCTGATAGAGGACTAATATATAAAGGATGAAAAGAATTAACTTCCCCCAAACAAGTGACCCAATCAAAGCACAGGAAAATGAACGGAATAGACACTTCTCAAAGAAGAAGAACAAATGGGCCGATAAATACATGAGAAAGTATTCATCATCTTTTAGCCATTAGGGAAAAGCAAATCAAAACCACTCTGAGATTCTATCTTACCCCAGTCAGCTATGATCAAAAACACAAAAAGCAAGGAATGCTGGGGAGGATGTGGGAAAAGGGGAAGCCTTCTACATTGTTGGTGGGAACATAAGCAAATACAAGTACTATGGAAATCAGCACAGTGATTCCTCAGAAAGCTAAAATTAAAAATCCCATTTGACCCAGCCACATGTGTCCTGGGTATGTTACTGAGAGAATTAAAGACATCATACTGTAGTGATACACGAAGACCACTTAGAGCAGCTCAGCTCACAACACCTAAGCTCTGGAAACAGCTTCCATGCCCATCAACAGATGATGGATAAGTAAAATGTGATACATATCCTATATACAAACATATATATACATATGAATACTATTTAGAAGAATGGAACCATATTTGCAGGAAAATGAATGGAACTTGAGACCATACTGCTAAGTGAAATAAGTCAGACACAGAAAGTTAAATATTGCATAGTTGCTCTTATGTAAGAAACTTAAATATAAATAAAAAGCGAGTAAAATAAAAGAGAGATGGCAGGAAACAAGAAAACAGACTTTGTGGAGACAGAGAAGAGGGTTATGGGAGGGAGGTAAAGGGATCAAAATGACCAAGATACAGCAATACATGCATAGTTCCCCCAAAGAAACATACACTAATAAAAAGAAAGAAAATTGTGGTTCCATGTAATAATGAAGTAAAGCACAACATATTACTTTAAAAATAAATAAAATTTTGAAACAAATCAGAGATTCATTGTGTTGTCACAGCATAAAAGTCATATTTTCATCAAGACAGAGACTTATTTAAATAAACTACGCAGACCCTGTTCTGGAGAAACTGGCCGGCCGTCTGGGAGGAAGAACACACCTTCACTGTGACAGTCTGGTTGAGTCTGTGACTCTGTAAACTCTGAGCCATGCATTTCGGGCAAGGGTGACCCAACTGTGTGAGCGTTTTTCTTGTATTATCTCCATGGCAGTGTTGTTGGTTCTGATATATTTTGCTCCTGCAATTGGATTCCCAGGGCGAATAGAGGCAGGTGGAAGCCCATCACCCTGAGTTCCGCAGAGCATCTCTGTGGGTCAGATGAAGCTTATGGCCCAGCTGCAGGTGTCCTGAGGATTCCACAGAGAAACAATGGGGTGGTGGGGGATGCTGGGTCGGGAGTGAGGGGATCTGCAGCAGCACCCCAGCTCTGCCTTGAATGGGCGCCTGAGTGTGAGCGTGCTCACCCCTACACTGGAGCTCAGCTCCCACACCCTTACAAAGAGCTCGCCTGGGATGTATGCAGGTCCCTCCCATCCCTGTACGTTTTGCTGTCCCCCTGTCTTTAACTCTGGCATGCCGTCAGGGTGGGGGGCACACACACATCCCAGTCATTCCCCGCCTTACCTTTTATTGAAGCCAGCTGCTTGGATATTGAAATGCTGCCAACAGAATAAAAGAAACATAATGATTCTGGGAGTTTATGTATTGATATCGCATCTGAAGCAAAGCAATATAATGATTTCAAAAGCACTGTTTTTCCATAGCTACTCACTGAGCTTTCTGGTGGAACAGCCATCTGCCTGCCCGGGCCCTTTGCTTGCTTGGGCTGAGTGAGGAAGGGGCTCGGCATGGCTGGGCCAGCCCCCGGGTCTCTGCCCTCCCTGCAGTTGTGTCCCCACGGGACTAAGAGCGTGGAAGGCACAAGGCCTCAGAGAAGGGCTCAGCTTGTCCATACCCAGGGTGACAGCATCTTGCCAGAGTAATGAATCAATAGGGCAGAAGCGAAGAAAGGGTGTGTGGAGCAGAGGGAACAGTGTGTGTGGAGGCCAAAAGAGAGAGGAAGAACCAGAGAAAGCGCAGTGTGGCCGGAGCCTGGAGCGGGAAGGATGTGGAGAGGGCAGATCAGGCCGACGTCAAGGGCCAGGGCAGAGCACGCGGAGGCTTGGTGACCTCGTGGAGGGCAACACCTGTTACCCCAGGGAATGGCATCACATGAGCACACTTGCATGTGGGAAATTATCTCACCTGCTAATCAGAAAGAGACAGGAAGGGCACCAGACCAGAGGCAGGGTATTGACTCTTGGTCCTTTACAGACAGCGAATCAAAGTGTGCTTTATTTTTTAACCCCTGAAGGCTGGAATAATTCTAAAGAAAGCCAGTAAGAGCCATACAGCTCGATCATGCCCATGACAACTCCTTAAAAGGGGCCGTTAGGTTCACGACCTGGTTCAGCATTCGCCTGTCCTGGTACGGTCACCTTGGGGATCCATTTTTCTCACTGGTAGAGTTAGAAAGCTGGACTTTGCTGCCTTGGGCCCCTCATGTTCTTTTTGCTGAGCTCCTCTGTTTCCCTAAAGCCTCTGGGTCGTCATTATCTCTTTCAGAGGATGCAGGGTGTGCGTGTTTTCACTGTTCACAATGTGCCTGCAGAGTGGCCCACGGTATTTCCTGCCACTGCCACGGTTTCTCTTCCTGTCCGTTAGTGCCCGAGGCTCTGAAGAAGCCAGGGCAATGCAGTTTGTCTCCACACTTCCCCTCCTGCCTAGCAGAGTGCTTGTGAGGTACCGAACATGATTTTGGAACTAAAATCTTTCTCCTCAACGGAATTACATGACAAAGAACATTTTTCATTTATTAGACCTAATTTCACACACTTGAATAATATGAAACAATTTCCCTCCATCGTGAATAATTTGGAATAGCTATGCAGTTAAAACCATTACCAAGTTTGATTTACAAATGTTTCTCAAAAGGCTATCAAACATACTTGTCACAGTTGCATCATCTTTTCAGTTTGTGGTCAAAACTGTAAAATAGTTCTCTTTGTTTTCACAGTTCAATTTAGAGATGGCTTCAGGTGAGTAAAAGGCACAAACCCAGTATCTTAACTACTCAGCTGTTTACATGACCCCTGGCTATGCACTCACAATGTAGGTAAAACTCAGCAGAAAGGAGAGCCACGCGCTACTGACCTTTTGGGCATTTTCCCGGCGCTAGAGCAGATGTTGGGGCCACAGAAGCACTGGGCCGCCCTTCTGAGTGGATTGCTTGGCCCTGGGCGCTGTGCACACAGTCTCCCATGTGTTGCTGCCCTGTCGTATGTTGGCTTTTCCTAAGCAATAGTCACTTGCCAACTGTTGCTGTTGTCATTCACTCCATGACAACTACACAGCGGAGCTTTTAGAACTTCCGCCCAGTGCTAGCCTGGGCAGCAGGAAATCCTTCTTACTTTAAGAAATGTGTGAATGCCTCCTGTGTCAGGCACTGCTCAAGGTCCGGGGACGCACAGGGAGCGACCAGACCCAGAGTGACGTGGGTGTCCCTGTGAACAGATCTGTGTGAGAGATGCTGCGAGATCCGCATCAGCGGGGAGGCCAGGAGCACCCGGAAGTGGCGCTTGACCATGAGTGGGCGTGGCCCCGTGAGGGCTGGGCCCATGCTGAGGCGGAAGCAAAGCTGTGCCCAGCCCACAGCGATGGGTCAGAGGACGGGAGAAGTTCGAGTGATGCAGGGCCCAGGCTTACTGGTAGCAGGAGGTGCAGATCAGCTCCTTGGCTGGGCCTCGCAGGAACTTGCAGCCACAATACGGAATTTTTAGTCTGTGTCAAAATAAGGGGAAGCCATTTGTGGGCTTGAATCGAGGAGGCTCATGAGGGTGCATTTACATTCTGGAATGATCACCCCAGCTGCAGTGGGAGGACTGGCTCAGCACGCGGCCGGTGTGAGCAGGGAGAGCGTGCTGGGAGCTGCTTCCTCCCGGAGTCTGGCGTGCGCTCAGTATAGACTGCACTCAGCTCGCTCAGATGAGTCTGATCAGAGAAGACATAGCCAACCACTGCTTCCACCACGGTCGGGTGCTGAGTGAGAGGGGCAGAGATCCAGGAGAAGCTGGTGAGGGCCGTTCTGCAGGCCGCAGGCAGGACACGGACATTGCTGCCGCATCAGTGCCACTGCTGCCGGTCAAAGCCACTGTGTCATTCCTTCATAGACAGCTTGTCTCTTCTCCCTCCACCTCTTCAGTCACTTCCTTAGCACCTTTCACTCAGATTTGGGCTGGGGAGGAGCATCATTGGCCTTGCTAACTCCTCCTGTGCAGCGCCATCAGAGGGTAGGGCTGGCCGCCATGGTTGTCAGTTACACCCAAAGTTGATCCTGGGGTTGGGATCAACATGGAACCAGTGTCACCGTTCAAGCTGAAATCGTGAGTTGGTTTCCTCAGAAGAGCACTTTGTGTAGGACTCCTAGAGTCTGGATTTCTAATAAGCACTTCAGTGACTTTGATGTGGACTGTATCCGAGAGCTTCTGGTAGTGGTTACAAATAGACTTCGGAGAATAAAGACCTGGGTCTGCATTCTGGCTCTGCCACTTAGTGTTGGGTTCCTGGGATGAGACTTTAGAAACTGCTAAATCTGCTATCTCTTCTGGAAAACAATACTTCCCCTGGACTCATTGTCAAGGCTGGATGCGTCGTGCTGGTGGAGCAGTTTCTGTTGTGGGGTGGAGGCAATCAGCACACACTCACCCCACACAAGGTGATTTGGCAGTGTCATCAGAGCCCAGCAGCACACAGAGTCCATCTCAGACACCTGCTAGGGTAAGGAGCAAACCCCACTACGGAGGCATTCATGACCGGGGTCAGTGGCATAGTGAGGAAGCTAACAGACTTTGAGGCACCTAGAAAGGAGCAACAATGAGAGCCACCCAGGTGAACGTGCAGGAAGAGGAAATAGTGTTATGGAGCCCAGAGAAGCAAGACTCTTGCAGCAGGGGCCACTAGAAGAATTTGTGGGGGGCAGCCACTGCAAAAAAGCAGGTGGGGGGGGGAGAGGGGGAGAAAGACCCTGTGCTCTGATCTGCAGCCCGTGCCCCCATGACCTAATTAGTCAGAAAGGCAGCAAGGAAGCCTAGGAGATGGTTGTGAAAGACCCAGAGTCCTGGGGCTCAAAGGAGGCGAGGGAATGTGCTGGGAAGGAGAGGTGAATGGATGAAGAAGAAGTAGTGTGAAGGTGAAGATGAGCATGATGGAAGCAAGTCCCAGGCAGCTGAGGTCTCTCCACCGTCTCATCCTGGTTGAAGTAAAGCTGACCTTCTCTGGCGGTTTCTACAGACAGTGCTGTTGATCACAGATCACTTCTTCCCTCCCCTGAGTCTCATGATAGCATGGGACATTTAACTCATTTGCACAAGGTATCAAGCCATCAGGTAAACATTAAACAAACACTTGGCCTGGCCCCTGCACAAGGTGAGGCCAGTGCCCAGTGTACTGAGTAGAGGTCAGACTGGACAAGGGAAATGTGTTTTTGGCAGGCAGGAGTATGACAAATGCCCTGTGTGGCTTATTTCCAAGCACACAAGGCCATCTCTGAAGGGTCGCAGGAGTGGGGACTCGTGTGCTGACTGTGGGCCGTGCAAGAGCAACACAGCATGAGTGGTGTTTGAGGTTGGGAGTCTCAGACACCTGCTAGGGTGAGGAGCAAACCCCACACAGAGCACAGTGTTTTTTCATGGGGTTTGCTCTCACTGTGGGCTCCTCATTCTGTTTCCTATTCAGTAACAATTAAATAGCAAGAAATGGGAATGAAAAGCTCAGGGTCGCTGCTTTCGTGGTTTGACGCCCCACTTCTTTGGCTGATGTTAAGTTCTTTACTGGGGGATTTGGAAACAGTAACTTCACAAAGTGGATTTTTATGAGACTTCAAAAGCTAGAATTATGCAAGTATTTTTACATGTATGCTCCTTTTCCTGGCTGAAAGGACACCTAGATTCTTGAAGCGACCTATAGCCACTTAAGAGTCATTGCAGGAAGCAAATGTCACCTGGCTGTGATGTTGTCTGTTTGAAAAGACACCCCACCCCAGCGTCACCCCAAGAGACAGAATGTGTGCCCCTTTGACCTGCATGCTCTTGCGCAGTTAGTAGGATTTATGCACTGGAGTAACTGGTCTTGTGCTAGGTGTTGATATTCCTTCTGATTCTCCACAAGCATTTGAAATAAGAATTGTAATCCTTTACAAATGATGAAATTCAAGCTCAGAGGGGTTAAAGTTCTTGTCCAAAATCATGTGGCTAAGTAAGGAGATGAGCCTAGATTCAAAGCTAAGATTGTGAGGTTTCAGACATCTGTTCTTTGATTACATCATGGAACACCTCCTTTTGTGCCATCCGATCATTTTTCGTAAGCTGACAATTCACAGCTCTGTAAATCTTGTAAGAAATTTACCAGAAGTTTCTAGCCTAAATTAGCCTCTTATCTCTTTTAATATCTGCGAAGCACATTTTACTTCCAGTACCTCTCTGCCTTGTATCCGTAATAGTTGTGATTTGCTTTCTCTTCTTACTAGACTGAGAATATCATTAATAATAATAACAACAAGTAACATTGATTAAAAATCTCCTAAATGCCAGACATTGCCCTGCACATTTCATATGCATCTTGTCATTCAATTGCTAGAACGCATTTTGGGGCCACTGTGATTATTGTTTGCGTCCTGTGGGTGACTTACACAGATTAGAAGACCCAAATTTATGCAAAAGCACACAGCTAATAGGACTCAGGACTCAAGTACAAGTCTTTCTGACTGTAAGAATCCCACCCTTAACCACAGTCTCCTCCTCAGGGACCGCTTTGATGTCTGCTCAGGGTGTAGCATCCTACTCAGGATATAAAATCAGACGTTTGTTGAATGCAGCGTGACCCAGCACCTAGAGTGTGATAGCTGCGGAGGAGGTAGGGCTTGTGCCTGGGACAGGACGTGTGTAGTGCCCAGTACTTTCTCCCTGTTTCCAGAGGAAGCTGAGAGTGACATGGGACCCTCCAGGGAAGTGAGCCACCCCCACTCAGGGAAGAGATGACAGGGTGAACTGTGTGCTCTGCGTCCACAGACCCTCAGGAAATGTGCCCGAACACGCCGTGCTGCAGCTACCTGTGCTCCTGTTGGTGTGTTTGGGTTGTTTCTGATTCGGGACCGTTATGTATAAAGTTGCCGTGAACATTTACTATCCTGCCTGCATATGCACTCATTTCTCTTGGGTATAGACCTGGGAATGGAAGGGCAGAGTCATGGGGCAGACTATGTTTAATTTTCTCAGAAACCGCCAAATAGTTTTCCAAAGGGGTTTGGAATTTTACACTTCTTGTCATGTAAGAGAGTTTCACTCCTTATTACCACTAAACTTTTTTTTTTAAATTCTGGCCTCTCAGTGTGGTTTTAAATTGCATTTCCTTGATGACTAACGGTACTGAGTAACTTCATATATTTGCTAGCTGCTTGGTTATCTTTGGAGCATTATTCAGCAATAAAAAGGAACAAACTACTAATAAACACAATAACGTGAATCAAGTACAAAACTATCAAGTTGCATAAATAACACACAAATGAAAGAGTATTTATGCTGCACTATTCCATTTATATGAAGTTCAAAAAATAAACAAAACTAATCTGTGGTGATAGAAGTTAAGATAATGGTAACCTCTGGAATGGACATTGGTTTAAAATAGTATAAGGGGATTTGGATGATAATAAAATGTTTTACATCTTAATCTGGGAGGTCTTCACATGGGTGTATTCATGCATAAACAAACATACTTTAATAAAGTATGTTAAACTGATTTCTAAGTGAATTCATTTGGAGAATGAAGCTAAGAAGGCTTGGAGCACCCCAGTTTGAGGCCACCAGCAAGGGAAGGGTTGATCATACTCGCCCAGTGAACACCACGGCAGTCCTGCAGCTCAGGGGCGAATCCTGCTCCTTGGCCTGCCACAGTTGCTGCAGTCTTTCCTGGGGCATTACGCTTTCCTCCACATGGCCGGAACACCTCTGGGCCCCAGTGTCATGAATGACACACGAGAAGCCACTCGGACACTGGCTTTCTGAGAGAAAAAGGCTGAATTTTTTCTGGATGCAGACTGAAATTGTGAATGATATCAGCAGCTAGCTGGGAAAGGAACTGAGTTTTTACAGGTTTTGAGAAGGGGACTATAATCTGGAGTGGAATGTCTATGATTGAGGGTCCAAGGACGGTCAGCACAGGGGTGCATACAACACTGAACTCTAGCACTGGGGAGATTGTATGTCTTGTCCCAGATTTTCTTTATGGCCATCGGGTCTGTTTGTCCAGGGCAGCCTGTGGTTTGCCAAGAACAGCATGTTTGCTGGGCAGGTCTCATTCAGGCCAGGCACAACACCCAGAAATTTACTTCTCCATGCAGATGGCCAATAAATACATGGGAAAATGTTCAAAATGGCTCGCCATTAGAGAGATACAAATTAAAACAATGCTGAGATTACATCTCACTCTAGAAAGAATGACCATCATCAAGAAATCAAATAATGACAAATGCTGGGGAGGGGAAAAGGAGTCCTTCTATATTGCTGAGGGGATGTAAACCAGTGCAACCATTGTGAAAATCAGTATGGAGATTTCTCAGAAAACTACAACTAGAAATTCCATTCGACCCAGTTAGTCCACTTCTAGATATCTCCCTGAAAGATTTAAAGGCAGCATATTACAGTGATCCATGCACACCCATGTTTAGAGCAGCACAAATCATAATGATTAAATTTTTTTCCATTAAGTTTATTGGTACAGTTTAGGTATATAATAGTTACATTCATCATTGG